ATCTTTAGAGTAAAGTCTATTTTAGGTCCTTAACAAAAAATACGGTTTTTACTTTTATTTTACAAAAAAAAAAAAAAATCATATTAGTCCTTTTTTAGGGACTAAATTGGATCTTCATTGAATTTCTGAGGGACCACATTTTTAAAGAACTGTAATTGTAAAGGGATCAAAAATTGACTTTTTTTTTGTAAGTAATGAAAGTGAGAACCATATTTTTTTGTTAAGAACTCAAAAATGGCTTTACTCTAATCTTAATTTGAATTTTAAACTTACACGTTTGAAAATTGAATTGCGAAATTTAAATTTCATGCTTATCTTAATTAGATTAGGATGATCCTTATCCTAAGGTTTGAATTGGTCAAACCCTTTATGAGTAGTCTAGGAATTTGAATTAAAAAGTAGATAAGCACTAGCTTTGAATTCCAATTCAAGTTTCATGAAGAAGGGAACTCATAATTCGATTATGAGTTAGGGTTGATCTTTTAAGAACCCTAAGCTTGCTCATGCGCCCTTAACCCAAGCAAGGCAACCACGACAACCCTCCTTCTCATTCTCCATATTTTCTTGTGATGCAACAACAACTTTCTTGCGTGCCAAGTTAAACACCATAGAATAATCCGCTCCATTCTTGTTCAGCCTAGCAAGCGATCAAGCAAGGAGGGATTTATAGGAAGAGTTCTCCCAAGCCATCAAGTGACAATTTTGATCTCCATTAGAGGACGCCTACGTCTATATCGGGATCAAGATTTGAAACCCTAACAAGACACAAAGGTATGACCTTCGTGTGATCATATGTATTATAATCAAAATTGAGTGCTGTTAATGAATTTTATTGAGTTATGATCAACTATGCATGTGTTTCCGCATGAACGAAAATATTTTATGGAAATTACGGCACTTTCAAGTAAAACTTACGGCACCATGATAGAAATCATGGCACCAACAAAAATATGGATATATTATGTACTTCTCCACACTTAAATGGAAAGTGCATAATATGTCCAATAGTAATTGATGCACTTACAGTTGGCCCATTGCACATGGCTTAATCATTGATTCAGGAAGCCTAGAGTAAATCAAAATTATGGCCCAATAAATATGGCCCAATTGTTAAAAAAAAAAAGCAATTTGAAATATAACAAATTACAATCAAATCCAAGTCCAAATGAAACAGCAGATATAATTGTATTTTGTTTGACAAGAAAAGGAATGCAAAACATTTGGCATGATTTGAGATCTAAGATTTGAGACATATTTTAAATAATTTAATTGTAATTATTTATTATTTTTAGAGATAAATTACTGTTATTTATTTTAGAAAGTTTTATTATTTTTAAAATTTTAGATTTTGAATTTTGAATCAATTTATAATTAGTCTATAAAAGGGTGCTTAAGACCCTTATTTTAGGAGTTGAATTTTGTTATTTTGTTAATTAAAATTGAGAACCAGAGAATTACTCTTTTATCGTATCCCAACTTTCTATTTAGCCACATTTTCTATGCGCTTTCGACATTAGTAATTTTTTTATTAAAGACAAATCTTGATTTTCAGTATCTTCATTCATACATGCATATATACATAAGGGGAAAAAAATTTCCTATTATAGGAGATAAGGTTATGTCACAATAGATAAAATTATTTCATATAACCCTAAAATGACATTATTTTGAGATTTTGAGGAAAAAAATACAGGGCTTTTCGAGATTTTTGCTTCTCTCTTACAGAATTTTCGCAAAATGCTCTACATTTTTTTTTCCCAATCTTCAAAACAATATTGTAGGAGATAACTTTATCTCTTATGACAGAAAAACACAAAAACCACACATAAGTTAGAAAACATGAAAATATCATAAACATATACATTAAAAAAACTCAAAGTGTCAATATCTAATACATAACAATAATATTTAAGATTCATTGGCAAACATAATGCCCATACTATCAACACAACTAGTAAATACTTTCGGTAGTAACTCTATTAAAGTGATCAACAATCACAAGATCAATGCTAATACATTATATTGACTGTCTATGTTGTTGAATTCCTTTAATGATAAAGTATTTCAATTTCGTACACGCGAAGTATGATGACTTAAGGCATCAAATCCATCAATTGGCCGAGTACATCCGATATATCTCACTAGAGAAGGTTCAAAGCATGAAAACTATCGATCCCGATGCAATTCCTGCATATTGATCAATTGCACATTGTATTTAGTGTAATATGCATACGATCATGATGGTTGAACTTCTTACTCATGTAAAGGGTTGTTATAATTTTGTATGATATGAATAATAAGTTTAAGATGGAAAATCTATCTCATTTTGTTGCTGAACAGATGTATCGCTTCGCCAGAACAAGTGTCATTCAAATCACAACCATGCAGTCTTTACAAATAAATGGAGAATCATAGGTCTTGTTTGAATACTATTTCTTTTTTAAAAAATTGATTATCAAAACAAAAAAACCCGTTTAATAAGATCTATTTTGTAAAAAAAAATTAAAAAATTGTAATTATTCTTTATTTTAAAATCAAATTTAGAGAACGTGTCTGAGTTGTTTTTGTTTTGTGTTTGATTTTTAACTTTCAAAACAAAAACAAAAAACACATAAAACACATGTTTTCATAACTATTTTACAAAACAGTTTTAGAAACAAAAAAAATCAAAACACAATCAAACATACTTATAATTTTCAAATTCCTATTTTTTCTATCAGTGTTCTGCACATTTATTTGTGTTTGCATTCTCTTACTCCAATGCGATTAGCCAAACATAAGTTGAGTTAGGCAGAGCTATCCAATGTGAGAATGACACCACAAGAACAAAGGTGATTCGTTCTTTTGTAGAAGACAGATGTCCACGAATCTTAAATACCAAAGAAAGAATATTGTCTTGAGGACACAATGTTTGGGGCTCGGATTTTTTCCTTGACTTCATTCTTGTTTTGGTTTGCTATGCTATAATTTTGTATTATTGCATACATTTTATGAAATTGCATGTGTTGTCGGAATAACTTCATAAATACATATTATCGTCTCATTATTACTTGGCAATATTTTCTCTAACAGTGACGTTGTATGAACATCTGGATGTCATTCTCAATGAACTTTCTAATGTCCTCTCCGTCAATTTGATGCATAGATCGTCTCCTGCCGCTGCTGCTCTGTCACGCACTTTTCTACTTGTGTTGGCTTTGTGGGTACCTTCGCTCCAATCCTATGTTATGGGACCTAGTGTTATAATGCATCAAGGCACATCCTATTGTGTCATATTCATGCAGTACGGTTTCAAGTATGCCTTCAAGTAAGTCACAATCTGTGACTCTATCACAACTTACTAGTTCTGCGAACTTTGTTGGCTATCCAGCGCAGTCAGTTAGTGTTAGTAGTTTGGTTCATTTTGTTGATTTCCAGCTATAAGATCTCTAATAGATCTGCTTTCAGTAAAAGCTGCATGTGTGTGTATCAATATGTACTTGCGCCAGAGTTAATTCAATGCAACACTTTTCAGTCTCTTTAACTCCCTCAACATCTATCTCTCTTTTCTCTGCTGCTTCTTTCATCTTCATACATTTTCTCTTAGTTATGTAATTACGGTAATTAACAAACCATGATATTTGTATTTGATCTGGTTATATAATCTACTCTCCTTTGTGTAATTTAGACACACAGAACTCACCAAAATTTCTCACTCATTATTACTAGCTTAATAAGTACAATACCGCACTTGCTTGGACACCTCACACTCATTATTACTTCTCTGGTACTCTACTACAAATTGAAATACGGAGAAAACTAAATACTATTTCATAAGCACTCACTTTAAAATATATAAATCTTAATACTAACTTTAAAAATTTGAGGCTAAAAATGGGGAAATAATCAATCCTATAATAAGGGAAGCTAATCTACCTTATAAAAGAGAATCAAATCAGAAATAATTATAATATATACACACAATATTTACAACACTACATTCTTTCTTAGCTTCACTCTTTCTTCCTAGTTCCTCACTCTATCCAGAGAATAGTGGTAGCAAGGCCTATTTACAGGCTAGGTAACTAAGCTTGGAATTATCTAGAGAACTTAAGAGCTTGTAATAATTAATGAATCTAGATTACTCCGTGTCCTTCCTCTGTCCACCTTTTGGGAGACGTAGCACTTGATTTCCTTCCGTGCTTAGAGCTGACTTTTCAATGCAAACATTATGAGGGTTGTCTAAGCAAAATACACTGAACCCAAGCTCGAGCTTGAACACAAGTTGAGCTAAATGAGTTACTTGCATTCTGAGTCAAGCATTTAAGTTTGCAACTCAAGCTTGTTCATTTAATACATCAACAAAAAATGAAGCCTTATCCATCTAGGTATAGATTCGGCTAAATAGATCAATCAGCACCATTAATCAATCGTTAAAAACAAAAATTTTAGCAAACCAAGTAGAGAAAGGTCCTTTTCAATGGTTTGTTCAACAAAGAATAGTCAAGACAAGCCAACATTTTAGATCCAACCGGAACTGGCTAATGGCAGATTAGTCAATTATTATTAACCACTAATTTGACTTATTAACCATTTTCTTCCTGGTCGAAGATAGATTAGTAAGTAATTGTTAACCACTTTAAAAAAGAACAGACCTCCATAAGGCACCCTGACTTGGGAGGCTATTCCCCAGACTTGAACTCGTGACCTTTCGGTCATAAGGAACAGCCTTACCGCTGCTCTAAGGCTTGGCCTCCATTGTAAATTACTTATTTGACTTAATTAACTACTTTGTTCCTGGTCGATGATCTTCATCAGTTTTTCCAGCTCAGTCATTTTCACTTGGGTGAATGAAGTTAACATGTTCAACCCAAATGGAACTTAGTGCAGGAGTTAATAAAGTCACCACTAGCTATCATTAGTGATTCCCACTAGATCCTTGTTGGCTTTCCCTTTTAATAAACAAGCCAAGTTTAGGCAAGCATTTAAAGATCTGAGCCCAAGTAAATCATGAATGGCTCAATTCATTTGCACGTCTAGTGCAAATTATGCTCATAAATAGTATTTAAAGGATCAGATGAAAATATATACAAATGTTAGGTATCTTTACCCATGATTTTAGGACCCACCTAAAAATCAGAGTAGGATTTGTCTAATTACAGAAAATAAACAGCCTAACTACATAAGGAAAATAAATAACAGCAATGCTGCATTTAAATAAATTCAAATTAAGACATACCCAAATAAACTTTAATCCCTTTTATTTTCTTGTTCAATATTGTTGTTTCTCATCCGTATACAGGTTGAAGATTATTGCATGAAAATGCTCACCTTTTGGAATCGGCAATTATTTGCTGCAAACATTTCATAACATAGGAGAAAGAAGGCCGTCTCCAGGGTTCACTACAGCACCAACAGATTGTAAATAGAATCATACTAATGTGTTCATGATAAAGAGCTACTAATACCATACTATAATTTCAGATTCAAAACTATGACAAAGTGCAAGAATCTATTGAACTAAGAATTGTAATTAGTTGGCAAATAATGATTGACACAACTGGTAAGAGCCAATCGCGATAGCTAAATTGGCCGTGGTTCAAATCCTACCAGGGCCATTGTTGATGGGTTATCTGTAAGTACCCTGCAAGTGCTCATTGAGCCTGGAGCACTGCGCTGACTCTAGGGTAGGACAATCACCCCTAACCCTAAATTTTCATATAAAAAAAAAGGGAATTAAAATTATTTATTTGATCTACTTACGTAGCCCAGCAGAGCTCAATCAAGGCAGCTACTTGAGGATTCACCTGGCTTGGAATCTCTAGCCTTTTGTCCATAAAACCAACAGCTGCAACAACCTACATTAATGCTATTCTGATTGTCAAAACAAAAGCCAATTGATGCATAATAAAAACATGATGTGTGCACAGACAGGCTAGTGAAAAAATACACCAGAAAGATGCTCAATTCGAGGAGCTAATATACAGCCCTGGCCATCTCATTTTAATTAGGTGAATTACAATTTAGGAATTGGTAAAAACCTATTCAGTTGAGGAATAAATTTATATATATATATATATAGGGCAAGATATTCTTACACCGATGTAAGAGTCAGCAGTCTTACACTCAATTTTGACCATTGATCCACTTGTATCCAATGGCATATATTACTAAAAAGTTAGAGCCCTTAGATATAAGTGGGATTAACGGACAAGATTGAGAGTGTAACTTACACTGGTGTAAAATGATCTTGACCCTAGCAATTCAACCCAAAAGCTTAAGCTATTGGGTGAGGCTATATTAATGGTTTTATATATCTCAACACGCCCCCTCACACGAGAGCCCATTGGGCTTGAAGAGTGGACGATGCACAGGCTCACCTACCTGTGCGAAGAATGAAATTCCACTAAAAAGAAAGTGGGGACGGTGAGGATCGAACCCGGTACACCGAAACTCTGATACCATGTAAAGAACTAATTCAACCCAAAAGCTTAAGCTATTGGGTGAAACTATATTAATGGTTTTATATATCTCAACAAGATCAAAAAAGATCAATGGTGTCACATGCTTACATATCAAAGTCGTTGATCTTTTTTGATCTAATGGCTCTCAGATGAGGTGTCAAATTTCAAATTTGACACTGGTGTCAAAGAATCCTATATATATATATATATATATATGGGCTAAACTAATCTCATGTTACATGAGAGAGTATGTCTCATGTTGTGAGATAAACTTGATGCAAGTCCCACTAAAAAATAAAAATCAAGATGGACCCACCTTGATTTTGTGTCACCCACATAAGAGAACTATCTCCTTTAACACGAGATTAGTTTAGCCCTATATATATATATATATATATATATATATATATATATATATATTGTTGTAAATAATAGTTATTTTCTTATTTATTAATTTATTTGTTGTATTGGGCCAAACCCATTAGGTCAAGTATTAGGTCTTTTATTCTCTATAAATAGAGAACCCTTTGTACAGATTATTTACAATTTTATAATATATCAGAATACCCTTTTTCAAGTTGGTATCAGAGCTTGAGCCCTCACCGCCTTCCACTTTAAAGTGGAATTAAAATTAAAAAAAAAGCACAAAAGGTAAACCAAAAATTGGGCCTGTGCAATTCCACGCTTCTAGCCCAAAGGGCTCTTACGTGAGGGAACGTGTTGAGATATATAGTCCCACATTAGTTAGATGTGCAACTAATGTGGAGTTTATAAGGCCTTGGGCACTCCCACCCATTGAGCTAGCTTTTGGGGTGGTGTATCCCAAGGTTCTTTACATGGTATCAGAGCCTCATGTTTCGGGTTCGATCCTCACCGCCCCCCACTTTCTCTTGTGGAATTTCTTAGCACAGGTAGGTGGGCCTGTGAATTATCCACCCTTCATGTCCCAATGGGTTCTCGTGTGAGGAGGCGTGTTAGAGATATATAAAACCATTAATGTAGCCTCACCCAAGTTGGTATCAGAGCTCTCGATTCTGAAGGTTTTGCTTCCGCAAATAACCGTCTTTAAAAACCAAACCCTATTTGCCTCTCGCCGCCACAAAGCCGCCACCGGAAAAAAAAATTCCGGGGACCTTTTGGACCCTTGTTTCACTCCGTTTTTCTTAGATCTATCATTCTACGGAGGTTTCTTTTTCATCAGACGACCGGAACAGCTAAAAAAAAAACGCGGTACTGTTCATCACGCAATGTTCACGCAGTAACTGTTCAAAAAGTTTTTGTTTTTGTTTTTGTCTCCTCTACCCGAATCTGTGTTTTTCTCTCTAATCTGACGTCGTCTGGGTGTCCATTGTGTGTTCTTTGATGCTGTTTTTAACTCTTTCTTATCACTATGGCCAATTTAGAAGATGGTTCTCCATATGTGAATATTCAGCAAAGGGAGTTGGATCAGCTTAAACCCGCTATTGATAATATGTGTAAGCCATCTGATCGTTCTTTGATCTTGTCTGGTAAGAGCACACGTTCTACATCTCTTCTTACTTCTTGCACTGATTTTAAAACCTCATGGATTTTGGATTCTGGTGCAACTGATCATATGGCTTGTTGTACTGAGTTTTTTCGTTCTTATCATCCTACTGTTGGTAGTGATACTATATCCGTAGCTGATGGATCCCATAAATCAGTTATTGGTTCTAGTAACATTCAAATTCGACCTTCCTTGTTTCTTAAAAATGTTCTTTATGTTCCTCAGCTTTCTACTAATCTTATCTCCACTCAAAAACTTACAACTGATTTGAATTGTTCTATCACATTTTTTCCTTCTCATTGTGTTATTCAGGATCTTACCACGAAGAAGACAATTGGAGTTGCTAATGAGCAGGATGGGTTGTATCATCTCCTTCCAGAACATGCTATAAATGATAGCAAAAATCAGTTATTAATGACACGTCATCCTTCTACTGCAGAGTCTATAATTTGGCTCCATCACAAGCGTCTGGGGCATCCACCATTCAGTCTATTGAAGTCTATGTTTCCTTCTCTGTTTCTTAATCAGTCAGTTGAGAACTTTCATTGTGATGTTTGTGAATTTGCAAAACACCATCGAGTGTCATTTCCTGCTAGCACTATTAAAAGCAGCAAACCTTTTTCTCTTATCCATTCTGATGTTTGGGGCCCTTCTAAAGTGCATAGTGTTTCAGGTGCAAGGTGGTTTATTTCTTTTATTGACGATTGTACTCGGGTAACATGGATATTCTTGATGAAAGACAAGTCTGAAGTACCAGAGATATTTATTCGGTTTCATCAGATGGTTGAGACTCAGTTTGGTAAGTGTATTAAAAGACTAAGATCTGATAATGGTACTGAGTACGTCAACCAACGTCTGTCACAATTCATTTCAGACAGAGGTATGATTCATGAGCTCACATGTGTTGATATCCCTCAACAAAACGGGGTTGCTGCAAAAAAAAATCATCACCTCCTTGAAGTTGCTAGAGCACTACTTTTCCAGACATTTGTTCCTAGTTCTTATTGGGGAGAAGCCGTGTTAGCTGCAACCTTTTTGATCAACCGTTTACCTTCACGGGTCCTTAACAATACCAGTCATATTCATTCCATGACTTCCTTCTTTCCTTTTGTTCCCATATTGAAGAGCCTTCCACCAAGAGTGTTTGGATGTGTTGCCTTTGTCCATGTTCATAAACAACATCGGAGAAAGTTGGATCCTAGGGTTCTTAAGTGTGTCTTCCTTGGTTATACCCCTTATAAAAAAGGGTACAAGTGTTATCATCCACCAAGTCGAAATTTTTTTGTTTCTATGGATGTCACCTTTCAAGAATCTGAATCTTATTTCCAGGGTCTTCATCTTCAGGGAGAGAACAGTTCTTCAGAAGACTCATCCCCTTCCTTCTTTGAGTCTGGATCAGTCTTGTCTACTCCTACACCTCTTCCTAGTGTGTCTGCTCCTGGTGTGTCAGAACCTTCAAATACATCAGTCTTGTCTACTCCTACACCTCTTCCTAGTGTATCTGCTCCTGGTGTGTCAGAACCTTCAAATACACCTGAGATACGAAAGATTTTGACACCTGAATTGGTATATCAGAGGAGGAAACAACCCATACTATCTCACCAGCAACCTCAATCGTTTGAACCACTGGTAAGTCCTGAATCTCTTGTTTCTTCTGAATCTCCTGTTTCTGATTCTAATATTATTGTCTCTCATGATTTGTCTATTTCTTCTGATATCTCTAATGACTTACCCATTGCTTCTGCTTCTGATGACTTACCTATTGCCCTAAGAAAAGGGAAAAGATCTTGTACCAAGAAATCTTGTTCCTCCTGTCCCTCTTGTACTCAATATCCTATCTCCCATTTTGTTTCTTCTACTAATCTTTCTGTGCAGCACAAAAGCTTTGTTTCAGCACTAGATTCTATTTCAATCCCAAAATCAGTACATGAAGCATTGAAAGATGGGAATTGGGCTCAAGCCATGCAAGAGGAGATGAATGCGTTGGAGAAAAATAAAACATGGGAGGTTATTGATAGACCCAATGGAAAGAAAGCAGTAGGGTGCAGATGGGTGTATGCCCTGAAGTATAATTCTGATGGCACTCTTGAGAGATATAAAGCTCGATTAGTCGCCAAAGGTTACACTCAGACCTATGGCATTGATTATGAAGAAACCTTTGCTCCAGTTGCAAAGATGAATACGGTGAGAGTCTTGTTATCCCTTGCTGCTCATTACAATTGGGATATAAATCAATTTGATGTGAAGAATGCTTTCCTTAATGGTGAGTTAGAAGAAGAAGTCTACATGAAAATCCTTCCTGGTTTTAATTCTGTGAATGGAGAAAATAAAGTTTGTAGATTAAAAAAGGCCTTGTATGGATTGAAGCAGTCATCTCGTGCCTGGTTTGGAAGATTTACTAAGGTTATGATGACCTTAGGATACAAACAAAGTCAAGGAGATCACACTCTTTTCTTTAAGCACTCCCAAGATGGGAAGCTCACTGTGCTCCTTGTATATGTTGATGATATTATTATCATAGGTGATGATTTTGTGGAGAGACATATTCTGCAAACAAGACTAACATCTGAGTTTGAAATTAAAGACCTTGGGAAACTGAGATATTTCCTAGGGATAGAAGTAGCTCATTCAAAAAAAGGAGTTTTTATCAGCCAGAGGAAATATGTTCTTGATCTTCTCAAAGAAGCAGGAAAGCTCGGGTGTAAACCCTCTAATACTCCTATTGAGCAGAATCACAAGATAGGCTATGAAGAGGAGAGTCCTCCAGTTGATAAAGAACAATATCAACGGCTAGTTGGGAAATTGATATATCTGGCTCATACTAGACCAGACTTAGCTTATGCTGTTAGTGTTGTCAGT